GACGTTATCGCCAGTATCCCGCTCTACAATCACATCAACCCACCTACTAGGTACAGAGCTGATAACAAACCATCGGTACTTGACCTCGTCCTTATGAATGAGGAACTCTTGATCGACAGGCCATTTATAGACATCCCACTAGGGTTAAGCGATCATCTCACCATACTTTATAACTATGTGGGCTGCGCTGAATATTCTGAGGAACATACAGAACTAACACGTACTATCACACATTACAACATCTTGAACAACCTAATTGTGACGACCGATTGGGAGTTCTTGTAAGGTGGTTCATTTGATAGCGCCAGGATTCAGTTTGTTGAACACTTCAGCAATCTACTCGCAACTGCTTCGAAAACAAATAGGGTTCATTTTACCAATCTTTCGTCTTTTATAACAAGTGGAACTCGCTAGCGCATGTTAATAAAGGACGCAGCTTGACAAACTTACAGGGCTCGTCCTTGCACCGAAACCTGGAACGATTACGTGACCCAGCGCAACCAGTGTAACATGCTTGTCCATGAGGACATATTGACTCACCAACAACAGTTGGCCTGTAAATTTGCCAACAACAAAAAGCTCCTGTACAAGCATGTTAACATCATCCGGAAAATGAAGCTCGGTATCCTCAAATTAACACGCCAGTCGGAGTGGCACAGAGTGCAGAAGGGGCAGCCAACACGTTACGAATGCAGTATGCCTCAACCTTCCAAAGAGACGTCCGCCAGTGTTACATACGAACATCCTTATGCCCAAGTTCAACACTCATAAACACCGATTTTACTGTCACAGCTGTGTTGAAGAAAATGCTCTCACGACGCAACTACAGCTCTCTCGGAATCGACTGTATTCACCTAATGGCGCTGAAAGAAGCAGCAACAACGCTGGCCGGGCCATTTTTGCATTTCTGCCAAATCTGCTTTAGTAAGCAAATTGTGACTATCATGTGGAAACATTGCGTAACCACTCCAAGTCAACTTTTGTCCACCTAGAGCCTTGCGGCACCCTACATCTGGCAAACAAAAGAAGGCCGTCTTCGGTAAGCCGTGCCCAGGCATACGTGTTGTGTACCCCAGCCAAAGCAAGTTTTTTAGGGTTACCCGCTGTTTTAAGGAACTATGCCGGTTACCACTGTTTAGTACTCGCTTACGCCCTTCATAGATGCGGACCCGCTATTGCCCCGCGATACCATCAATGCACCGCTGACAGTGATTGTCGAAGACTTGAATGCGCTTCAGATCCTCACTGTCATATAATAGGACGGCCCTCACAATGGCCTTGTAGACACGGACTTTGGGACGGAGGGAACTCGTTTCTGTCGCCAAAGATGTCGCAGATTCAAAATTGCAGTTCTGGCTTTTGCAGTAGGTGAACTGACTTCAATTTTTATGCGCCCATCGTTGCTGTTTCACCTGCGAAATCAAGTGAAAAAATGATCAACCATCTCAAACTCCTCGTTATCAAGGGTCAATGGATCATCTAGTGGCCGATGGTCCTAAAACAACACTTTCCTTTTCGAGGGTACAGTGCGCATACCGAATAACGGGACTACTCTAGAGAAGCTATTCAGGATTGCTTGCACCTCCCTAGCGTCGTTAAACGGCGAGCAGATATGTTCCGCATAATCAAAACCAACCAACCTTTCACCAGGCAGCACATCAACGCCCGCATTTTGAGGTTCCGCTAGGGAATACCTCCTGGATGCAGTTCCTGACGAAGGTGAACAAAATATGGAAATAGGATAACTCTGAGGATTGTCATTTGTTGTCAGAAAGATTTCAGCTAAACCACCGTAGACCTTGACGCGGTCTGTCGTGTTCGGGTATGAAGCACGTAAAACGTTCACATATTTTATGGGAACGTCTTCAGCGCAATTATTTGGAATAAAATTAAATGACTGATTGACTGTGTCGAACATACCTATAAACTCGAGGAACACAGCTATTCTCAGTCTGCAGTATGCGTGACGCTTCCGTAGCACCTGCCGCAGAGTAAATATATGGTCTACATAACAGAAATCTTGGCGGAAATCTACCTGCTCTCACCTAGTCCGGAATAACCTTTCCGCAGTAAGGCGGCAAACTAGAACTGAGACCAGAAATTTTGTCACAGCTTGCGCTAGGCGAATACCCTATTGGGTGCGAGTGTATTTTTTATATATTGCCAATATCGTTGGTTCGCTCCAGTTATCCGGGATGGTTTCTTCATTCCTGACATATTCAAACAGGGAGTTCATTAGTCTCCAGAAGACCTTAACTCCGACCTCAAACAGTGCAGGTGGGAGGTAATCCGGGTAGCAGCACAAAAACGATCGAGCGCTGCGTTCGCGTTTCGGACTTCAGTCTCTGATAGGGCCTTTAAAGTAACCATTCATGACCCAACCTCCAACTCTTGAGTAGGAAAAGGTCCGGAAGCAAGGTGTCAAACGAACTGCTCTCGAAGTGCACAATCTAATTAGCCATTCGGCGCTGCTCATTGTGAATCAGTACTCCAGCGCTGTCTCACTGACTCCTGGTTTCCTGGGATCACTGGCGCGGTTCAACTGGAAGAGCTTTTGATAATTGCTTAATGATATCGCTTCCTCCATTTATTGGGCTCGAATGGTCCACCAGGCGTTCTTATCAGGGTGCAGGCTCTGCTTTGATTCGCGCCTCGTAGTTCACTTTGTTACATTGTGCTCAGAGCTAGAAGTAAGCTTTCTTCTGGTTCCCAACAGGTTCATCAACCTCTCGGATATTCATTGACTGGTGCGGTGACGAATAATTATGTCACAAGCAGGTTGTTCTACGACTTGCTCAGCGGCTGATGTTTTATTCCACTGAAGCTCATTAGGACAAGAGAGTAAAAGTTCGGTACGTAGTGCATCCTGGTAGGCTTGCCGGACCGACAGTTGAGCGAATTTCTCAATTGCCAACCGGAGCTAGGCGCTTGGTGCTCCACCTGGTAAAGTTAATAGAAAGTAACAGTCTACCAAGACATGATCAGAGTCCAAGTAGGTGTTCTATAACGAGTGGCAATGCGGAATAGAACCAAGCCACCTGCAACTAATGGCAAGGTAGTCAGTTTAGATACATCTCTGGTTAGCTACAGTAAGAAGTTAAGTGGCACTTCGACGCACACTCTAAAACAATGCTACTAAGAAACAGCTGGTGCTCCACACACAATTACGACAGACGCTCTCAGTTTTCTATCCAATCGGAGTTAAGTCCATACTTACCACCTAGCTGAGCTTCTGGAGAGTCCGAGCAACCTACTTACACTTTCCTATCCCATACAATACTATGGTAGCTGAACAGGTAGCACTGCTTAGTAGCGTGTTCAGTTCGTGGGGGAAGGTGCCCTTGGCAGCATCACAGCTGCAGTCAGTGGGGACATAAGCGGAAACAACCAACAACAGTGCCTCGTACTACTTTGTGAATCAACTTCGCCTGATGACCTCAAACGGGTTACCCACAAACTGCTGCTCACAGGAATTGAAGCAATCAACGATGACTCAGCCATGGAAGTGAGAATGATACCCACCCCAGCTTGACTAGTGACTGCTGCATCGACGTTTCCAGATGCTCGCAACTAACAGTGAGGACAAGCCGGACGCAGTTAAGTAAACGACGCCGTCAGGGGAATTGAAACTAGGTTCGGTTACGCAACACACGTCAATACTTAGCGGGTACGACGTGCGTGCAAGTGCAGCCTGTTGACCAAGTTGTCGTACGGTGCGAATGTTGAAAGCCGCCGGGGAAATGGACGAAAATACATGGACACAATCAATACAAAGGGGAGGTAGTAGGTGGTCAAATGGAGGGAATACCTCCCCACGGCGTTATATCATTAGGCCGTGCCAACAGTGTAGGCGGGCCTCACTTGGGACGCGCAAAGAGCCGACCAACTATGGAACACAGGGGTAATATGACTGGCTGACAAAATCGAATGCGCGCCGACAGGGTGTGACAGGGTTTGTACCCTGGCGCACACACAACCGACTAAATGTAGAAAACAAGCGCGATGTGACTGGCTTATAAAGTCGGGTGAATGTCTACTGCGTGCATGAGGGTCATGCCTTGGCGCAAAGAAACGGCCTGACAAGACAAGTGGAAGGCCTTCACGTCACTTGAGACCAGGACGTCGAATATGCGGGTAAAGTAGTTTCCATAAATAGAATGTGTTTGACATATAAACATAGTCCTGTTCACAGAATACACACCGTCTACCGAGGCTTGACAAGTTTTTGCGGTTATATTAGACGGTGAGCAGTATTACTGCGAGTGAAGCAGTACAACATGCAAATCTTGACTTCGTACTTTTCACCACAAGGTTATCAGTCACATGCCTTTATCCATGATAAATTACTGTTCATTGTTCGTTATAAATATTACTAAATATCATTAAGATATGAATGGGGGTAGAGAGAAATAAATAAAAGTACAGCACTTGGCGCGTGGTCGCACACCCCCAGGTGTCGCAATGTCATATTTTTAACTAAAAGTGCACATTATTAGGCCGTCCTTCGTGTAACTGGTCGTCGTCAAGCTCGTATTATAATGCTTGACGTTATTCCGTTTTTGAATATAACAAAGAATTATCCTGATACCTGATGGTCAAAAGGAATGCAAGAATAAGTAGGCTAAAGCTATAGAAGCTGTGTGTGCGCGCACAGCCTGTTTGGATGAGTGCACTCGGATCGACCACTTCGGCTGGCAGATACCTTCAGTCAGTCAAGGGATCTGTGACGCTGCTGCCTACGCTAGCATGGAACTAGATTTAAATTGTTGCGCTAAATGCCAATATCTCCCTTTAATGTGCTAGTTACTTTTTGCTGCAATTCTGCTTTCGTGTTTCCGGTTTATCCACTATCATTGTCAGTTGTGTCGTAGTGAGTTTGTGAAGCACACCAGTTGGATTCAATTTACTTTAGCACTTCGTTATAAGTAGTTAAGTTAAACCATGTAGAAAATTTAATGTTTACACTGTGTCAGTACCAATCACATTTCTCCAAGACTTGCCTCCAAGAGAATTATCTGAGTCTGAGCCCCCATATATACGTTGATACCGAGAAGTAACCCGAAGATACACAGTATAAGTCCGTAAAAGATTGCACCGAGTTTGAGTCCCAAATACCTGTATGAAAAGAAGGAAAGAGAATGAATTGCCAGGTTAACCGAAAATCTGTTTATGCACAGTAAGGGTTGCACAAATGTTTCATATATCCATCTGAAAAAATTGGTAGATATCTTCCAGAAAATAAGCGACTTAATACTTTCATCTAGCATTCACATCTAGCCCAGATGGATCCGATATTAGGCGGGTTGGCACTATTTGATCAGCAGTCCTATGTTGGAAGAGAAGACGTACATGACGAGCAGTTTAAATCAAGTACAGAAGTGGAACGTAAGCTTCAAAAGTATGCGTGGGCCACTTCGGTACAATCTGCTCGTATTGCTCTAGGACATCGAACCACATCTTGCAAGTACACCTAAGTCTTCCATGAAGGGCGTGGTATGGAACCATTGGCTGATGAATACTCAATTATTAAAGAAGCTTGGCAGGGAGATTTGAATATTATGACAAGCAATTCGTCACATCTAGACTCAGTCAGACAGTTATCAAACACCCGGACAAGCACTGTACGGCGGTTTTATCATTTTGGTAATCGTCAGCAGTGTTCATTCACCTCGTTACCGCGGCCCGTCCATGGCAGCCATAGATTCTAGCTCCATCTCTGGCTGGAGTAGCACGGAAAAGATTGGTTGTATGCCACATTTAGCCAATTGGCTAGCCAATGAGAGTAAGCCAATGGTATGGTTTTACCTTGAAATGGACCAATCAGCACGACCTTCCATGAAGCCCTCCAGTAAGCGCACTACTTGATCAGCCAGCCAGCGACTTTTGCGCATCTAGTAGTTGCTATCGTTAGGACCTTTCACTTAGGTCTTTCTCTCATGAACTATTTATTTTGACCACATATTATGCCTGTACATTCTGTCTAAAGAGTGCTCCATACAAGTTCTGCCAGAGGCCTTTGTCTTCTGATTTGGTGGGTGACTGTATCATGACCAGAGTGACTGCATTGGTTATTCGTATGATCAGCGAAAGCACAACACACCTAACACTTGTGCGGCAAGTAGACTACCCTCCTTCAGTGCTTGAAACAACTGAGCTGCGGGCGGATGGTAAAGACCGATGTGCTATGGTTACTAGATTCTTTGTAACACCGCTCACTATCCACTGACTTGAACGTTGCTGTAGTGCTGAGGATAGGGTATCCTCCTAACCAGGTGACGAACTCACCAAACCTGGTCGCCAATTAACTAATGGCAGTATAAGCAATTTACTGTGCGTATAGAGTACAAGCGATAAGTAGGAGATTTAACTGAATTTACCGCTGAGGTTGGGTATGTTCATCGCTCGGTGATGAGGCCACCCTGTCATCTGTACGGCATAACTTGCAAGTCCGTGGATAGTGAGCGGCGCTATAGCACATCTAATAATTTAGTCACGACAGTCGTTTTTTCCCCCATAGCTCAGTCGTCTCAACCACAAACTGATGACAGTCGAGTTGCTGGTTCGAGTTCTGCAAGGGTCATAGAGGATGCAAATTGTTGACAATTCCCGTACGGATGCAACAATCATACAGTGTTTTTCCGGGTGTGTGCTGACTGTCTGACTCAGTCTAGATGCAATGGATTTCTACTACTCGGCACTAGGCTACATGAGCATAGCCTAGCCATCCGCTGACATGACCAGAACTCCCTGATGTCGGTACATATGGACGCTGAGAATCATCAATTTGATTTGGAGAATGTCAGGACCATAGACAGAGCAAAAAGTAGAAAACACGCGAGCTCATCGAGGCTTGGTACTCGGGAGAGTACACAATCAACAGGCACTTAGATCTAAACACTGCCTATGAGACACTGAGGGTCAAAAGAATAGTCCGCTCCACATCAACTGGACGAAGGAACCTCATTGAGGCGGACGCTAGCCAACAGTACTTGAGAGCTGACTACACGGTCAGTTCACGTGGACCAATCGACTCTTGACGTTCTAATCAAGTGATCAATAATCACTTGGATCTCTAAGTGGCCCGCATAAATCGCACTGATGATGTCGTCTAGTCTGACGCTGAAACGTTTGCATGCAAATCAACCAGCTCGGAGAACACCGGCATACCCTAATGCCTTTACTTACCTAGGCTACTGTCGTTTCAGTAAATACTCAATAGTATTCTATACAGAGAAACCCGGAGGTTGCATAGAATATAACTGCGGTTATAAGACGGTCCACCGTATCTAAAGTCCCTGAACTCAGGGTCATGAGTGGGTACCGTGGAATATAACCATATTTTTACTAATCCTAATACGTCAGGTAACACAGAGTAACCGAAAGGTCACTCCCCATTACAATAGTCAAATCTTGGTGAAGACTACACGCAGGGCGCAGTAAGGACTGCAAGGCGGGTTTGAAGCATGGGTAGTCTGCTGACTTGAATAAGAAGGAACTATTGCAATCACCCCAGAAGAAAAGTAACAGAAAGTTGTTCTCAATCCTAATTAAGCCTTTTCAATTCAAAGACAGCAGGTATGATGGTATTGAACTTGGGGAGCACCATCATCAAATATGTCATTTAAGTTACCCTGTGACCTTCAAACTGGGTTCACTTATAAAGTGGACCTTCCTGTCTACCTTTCTCGACAACGCACATCTTTTTATTCGCGCTCAACGCATCCTAGCCCAGATCGAGCAATTTAACAAGTAGACTCAGTAATACATTGACCTCATGGCCTTAGCGCACGTGGTATATAACTCATTGGTCTCAGACATGTGGAACATAACGAGTATTTGATGACCGTGATCAGTCGAAGTTTACTTTGCAGAGAGAGGGATATTTCAAACCACACGATGGGAGCCAAGTTGTTAAGCCACGGTGATCGATTTCCGTTTAATGTCATGTTTCGCCTTTATACACATTCTCCCCAAGACTTATGATGTTTGTTGTACCATCGTAGGTTAAAAACTTTGTCGGGTAAAACTAAGGTTTACCGAAACGGCAGCATTCCTTACCATTGGGTGCACGCAGGACTGGTTGTACGGCTGATCTGAACCGTGGGGGAGGGCTTCCGATAAGTTTGTGGGTATATACACAAAAGATAGCAACCGGAGGTTTCGGCACACATGTCAGTTTAAAGTTTGCTTGACTCCTTCTAACTGTATTCAGTGTCTCTTACACAATATTTGAACGAACTCATAATCGAATTCACGAACAGGGTAGGTTTGCGCGATAGACTGTTCAATGTGTAAGATGTTACGTTCGTAGGACAGCGTAAGTGAGAACGTTTACTCAATATCCAAACAGAAGCTGCGTAGAGATCGCCTACCAAAACGCAAATGGTGAACGTTGCGCAGCGAATATCAGCTTTTCCAAAGCATATAGGGAGAACAAGTGCGTTCACGCACGAAAATTCGGAATCGGGTGAGAAACTGAATTGGAACTGAATTTTCCCGTTGTGTGTTCAACTCAGAGACTTTAGAAGAAGCAAATATCCTGCTGGCACCCTGGTGAAGTCACACTTATCATAGCTGTTACAGCAACAATTGTGAGCATGTTAGAATACATTACAATGGAAAAATGTACATGCCGTCGAACGGGGCAAACAGTTTTGAAATAGCAGGACAATTAGTAACGCCGGGCAAAAATCGGCGAAATTTCACCACTTCGTTACATTCGACAGCTATGATTCTAACTACTAATGAGTGGACAGATTTGGGGAGGATTCAAGTTGATTTATCACAATTACATTCCAAGCCGTATAAGTAAACTGCCATTCATGTAAAACACCAGATGATCGTTTCGTCTGATTTGGATTCGTCAGTGGTGCACATTCCCTCCCGCGCCTGCCGGGGCTAGAACCTATGACCGCTAATGACTTGCACCACTAGCCAGCAGTTTATGTCACAGATTCATGGGGGACGATAACCCACCAACACGGATTGAAACCTAACAGCGATATAGACCAACCCATCCTTCACTGCCATGCACCTTGCTGCCCGTGCAGCGGAGGATGCTCGTTCATCCAGGCCAGAACTTCCTTCGTCATTGCTGTGAATCCACCCACCATTGTGTAAGCTGATAGGGCTTAGTTTTGATTAATAATGATTCGATAAATCACGGTAAAGGGTAGCGTTGGTTGTTACCGTTCTGATTAACTTGTGAGGTGCATGGTGAATGGTATATTGACAAATGCTCTGTGAATTTAATAAAAATATGGCTTTATATACGTCTAATAATTTCGCATGTGTTCATGCAAAAGCCCCTGTAGGTACAAGTATATTTATTTCCCCAATGTTTCCATTCTCTCCTCACTATTCGTTCTTATTCTTTAGGTTTCTAATCGAAATAAATACACCCGAAAACCATGAGATAAGTTCAGGATGGATGAGTAAACCATGAGACCACTGTTTGTGTATAGCCATAGTGGTCCAATGGTTGACACCGAATCAGAGATTTGATCATATAAATGTTACTGGGGCACATCGATTCACTGGTGATCTCGGTCAAACTCAATAGCCCCCCACTGAATGAGGCGGCCAACGCGCGCAAGGTTTCCACCCACACTCCAACTATGAGTTTATAGCGTAGTCCAATTCACTGAAATCATTGATTTGTCAAACGTTGATGTCTGATTCTTCCCAATCAATCATTTTATCAGCAATGATTGTTTACCATTTGAGACAGGTTGTCTGAAAAGATGTTCATTTCGAGTCTTTTCGGTGAACAATTTATGCTATTCGACCCGAATAGGTTCGGTTTAGTCAGAGTGGAGCTGCGTAGACTAGATTTTTTGATGCAACGCAAACGAGTACAATAAAAATATTGGGGCGGTATATTTCGACACAAAATGAAATCATTAAAAGTCCCACAGACTTTGGTAGGTTTTATGTAGAGTTAGCTTAGTGCTGAAAAATGCATAATATAAAAATATTTTCGTTCACGTCTTAACAAACATAACAGAATTAATGGCTCTAGCAGATGAGTAAACACATTTTCAGTAGGCTATTTGGATCAGCAGAAATCGAAATTGCAGCGATCTCTGCATAGTTGTACGCATGGTGTGGCGTATTAATGACAGTGTCTGAGTGATCACAACAACCTGTAAAACTCATGAAAACAATTTTTCAGGTAAAGCAATACAAGAATGGACACTGACTTTACATTTAATTTTGTTATTACTAATAACAAAATGAAACTTGTGTAGGTTTCGTTGTAATTCATTCGATTAAGTAAACCACACTCCTAAAATTTACTTGGAAAACCGCATCCCTCGGTGGCTACTTGTTACGCTCTGTGCTATAATTGACAAATAAATAGTGTTATGCCATCCGCTTTCTAGGTAAATATGGACGGCAGTCAATAATATAGCTAAATCAGAGGACAGCATAATAACGACAATCCACCCGAATTGAATCCTAATTTTGGATCCAGTGGATGACTTTTCTCTTTAACTGGATCTATGTGGTACGATCCGATGTATGGATGAGTGCTGGGAAGCTACTTTATTCCGTTCTAACTAGCAATTGGGGTTTAAAGTAACACAGTCCGTCAGTAGCACATTTGTAAGTAGTTTCGACGGTGAAAGCCACCCTCGACAGAGTAGCAAACTTCAAAATATCCGACGATGAGGTGTGTCAAGCTTGCTGTAAAGCGTAAAAATTTTTTTCGGTCATGCGTCCCTCCTAAAGCAAAATGGAGAATTAATATCATTTAAGCGATTTGGGTTATTAGTATGTAATCAAGTAATGAATCACAACCCTTCAAGTTACATCGACCACCACAGCGAATGTTTCTCAGATAGGAAAACATGGTCTAAGAACCAGTCGCTGCAGAATATTTCATATACGCAACCATCAGATTGCTTCTGGAATTCGCTAAATGGAAATGTAAATCGATATTGCTGACTGGTTTGTTATGAGCGATTCAAAACAGTGTAGGGGTAATCAAGTTGGAAATTTAATTCTAGGCCGCTGCCCATTTTCATTCACAAAAATGAGGTGAGCAATAATTAACTAACTTGTGCTCACTGACACATTGCTGTAAATCTTGTCTCCTGGATTTTTCAAAAACGTTCATCCCAGTGAATACCGAAGGTGCCTCAACATCCACAGCTACATTCTCTACGGTGTCAGTATCTGCGCTGAGCGTTTCCGACGAACCAGCGGGGAACAATTTGTCGGATGTGTCGAGTGAACTGGAGGACGTGCTCGTTGTATGTAACAGGTTTGTGGATAAATCAGCGCACGATAACTTCTGAACTGGTCGAGGATGGTTCAGGGTATAATCGCCAAGAGGATAGTTGATCTGCCGGATGTCATCCCCGAGGATATGTATGTTATGTCCGCTGGCGCTACTGCGTCCAGCGTCTGACATACTGCAAGTGTCCTGACTTGTGTTACTGATTCCTTTAAGGGAAATGAATGATGGAGACTTAGCAGCAAATAGGAAACCAATGCGTACATACACAAGGAAATATGGAAATGACAACTTTTGTTAAAATTGGATTTTCGAGCTTTGTTACCGTCGAATTATAATGAACTCCGATATATAACCAGTTGTGTCAAATAAAAATATTTGCCTTTTATTATTTCCCTTACACACCGCCATTTTCTTACAAAGTGACCTTGAAAGAACAACGTGATAATCGTGTATTGGTAAGCTCTGGATTTTTCGCTGTTTCTCACTGGCAATTTCTCGCGCACCATTGAATCTATACCCCTGCGTTTCGTTTTACAATCTCTAGCTCGAGATACCATTTTCGCAAATACACTATAGTGCATCCTACATTTAACTGGATTTGCAAGCTCAGTGCAGTGTTTCACCAACACCCACGTGCACAGGTTGCACAATTTAAATCACTGAACTCAAAGTTTGGACTCACTCGACAGAGCATTTCAAGAGTGTTCAAGCAAGCTCTGACTCGCTCCAGTCTAATGCTGCGTAAATCAGCTACAGACTAATCCTCGTTTTTTCCACAGCAAACCCGACTCCGCATCTAGGCCTTTCTATTAACAAACCAAGCAACAGAGCCCCGTTAACCACGTCACTGTGGGACTTCAACCCAGGCACAGTGGCAATCTGCCGACATGAAAGTGAAGGCCAAAACACGTCGTCAAACCGTCAACTGGTGACCTTAAGCTCAACTTGCGGACGCGAATCGACCTTTTACAAACACAGAAAAGTCATCTAACGTGTGTTGGTCTCACGATCAACTTGATCGATGGCGTTTGCATAAAGCCCACTAGTGTATTCATTTCAAGGAGCGACCTCCGCAAAGTTGACGATCATAACGGCACGCAGCACCGAAAGCTAGGCCTAAAGCTTTAGGATTGAACGTTGATTGTGGCGTAGAAAGCTGTGTTAAACTTTTGCAATTCGATTTAGAATGCACAAACTGCCGTAAATCTCCTCCTAGATTTACTACTCTAGTCGCAGCGATTTAAAGAAACTTCAAAATACGATTAATTCGCTTTGTTTCTGCACTAATGTGCGCCTATTTCACTCGACGGAAATATAAATCTGTTAGCACTAAAGTGCAACCGGTTGCCAAAATTTGTAGAGCAAGCAGAAGCCGTGAGAGCTGTTTCACAGTAACCAGACAAATCAGTGCCACGGCTTCAAGGCACAACTAAAAATTGCAATTCAGAACAGTGTAGCCAGGAAGAATTTGAGCGCAACGAACAAGATTAGCTACCCCGATACTACGAACTGCTCATAAAGCTGCGCTCGCCATGCGTATTTCCTCTGAGCCACGCGCCACTTCCTATACTGTTAGAGGGATGACAACAAACACCCCCTTGTTGCTACCCGCTTGATAGAAACACCTCATATCTTAACTCCGCCAAATACCACAACGGGACTGAAGACCCCATGAGTATTCCAACCAGAAAAGCGGTCACACTTCTCCCCAAATGGAGAATATGAGGCAACAGCACAATTCGTCACCTGTTATATTCCCTAATGTGGCTGAATCCGGTGCGGACTTCATAAAAGCTTAGCTACTGGAAGACAGATAGCAATGGGAAGCCTTGTGTCAATTAATATGGGATCAAGCTAAGTCGTCCAATAAAGTGCACCTCATCCGTCCCCTAAACTCCGCACACTAGCTTGAACTGCGCTTATTCTAAGTAACAATTCAGTCAGGTAATGATGTAGAGGCAGTTCTCTTGTCAGCCACTAGTCTTCCTACTACCCACGCGTTGCTCCAATCTCCACAGATGTTACTTGGAGCAAACGTCAGGAGCACAAACAAAAGCCGGAGGACTTCTGTAAAGAAAATGACGTAAACTCGACCCTTTTTCATGGTATCACCGAGCTCCAGACATTGAACAAACTAGAGACCGAAGCGCTCTCACTCAATAAACGCTATCGCTAATACAACCTGAAGTTTACCGCTATCACCTAACTACAAAGGGTGTGCTCCCCGAGTGATGAAAGTAGCATTGTAGTTTAAACAGATGGTCAAAAATCTGATTGAAGTGTGGAACAAAAAGCATAAACTGCTGCCATCCGAAATACGTATAATGGCAATAGACAACCGGCCACAAATATACAAGGTATCCCTGAGCAATCAGTTTACCTGTGCAACCCTGTCACCGTGCAGCTGAATACAGGGACAGTTTCAAAACATGCCGGCAGTGGAAAAAGCACAGGGTAGTTATCACTTTGCTGGCACTGAGTGCTCTACACAACAATTCGGAATGGCCCAAAGGCATGCGCCGACGGCCCTAAAAGAAATGACCGGCATCCGACCCTACAAAAGTCGGCATAGACTCGCACAGGAAAGTAGAATTCACAAACAAGCTTACAAACCTCCGATGCTCTCAACTGCTTTTAAACCAACGCATAAGCTCTTCTCATCAAGCTAACAGAAATTCGCATCAGTAAGGTCTACACTTTTTGTGATATAGTCATGTTCACCGAAACATGACTAAACAGGAAGATCAATGACGCTGCGATTGTTCTACCTGGCATGAATTCCATACGAGACGATCGACTTAGCGGAGTGTGCGGAACAATGAACAATGATTAATAACGGGTAAAAGAGTAGGTGCCTGACTTGTCCCGTAGGGTGTTTCGATTGAGAAAAGATAGATCAAGGGATAATGGAGTCGTCAGTTTGGGCGATTACAGATTTAACTGCACTGCAGTATAAAGGGAGCTTGAAGTTGAATGTACGCACACAAGGCAATAAGAGGAGTGGTTATTGATCACGTAATAGGCGAGAAAGATAGCAAGGGCAGCGCTTACACGTGTGCAACTATTTTGGGTCGACGGGATACAGAAATCCAGGTTCTATAGTGGTAGCGTTTATTAAATTGTGTGCAAGAGGTTTGGAGTGACTCATTCTCGAGTAGGGTTATGGTACTATCCACTGTCTGTTGTGCATTAGTGCCAGCATCCGGTGCTCATGGGCTAGAACACGTAGTGTAAATGTGACAGAGTATCGTCAACGCGTTTTTTGAAAAGGGATAGGATGTGTGCATTAACTATATGTTCCGGGAGGGCGTTCAAAGGCTGTGACAATCGAAGGGAGAAATAGTTTCGCCGGCATTCCAGACGGCTGTACTGCGTCACCAGCTTAAACTGGTGACCACTTAGCGGGGTGTTTTGAGTGAGTATTAGGAGGAAATGGCATGGAATGGCAATTTTCGGGCGTTGCTCCTTCCGACACTAGCACCCAACGACCGCGGTTTCGTCCTGGTTTGGACTTGTCAGGTGGAGATAGCCTGAGCTGGGTGGAACTCAGAGTTTATTTGTTCACGGCTGACGCCCTGAACACTATGCTACTGAGATCCGCGAGCAAAGCTTGGCACAGCGGAAAGTAATTCAAAGCTGAATTTATGGAGCACGCTGTGTGGTTGTGTTCCGATCCGCAACCTCAGTTGAGACCTCGACTCACTTTGAGTTAAACCTCGGTCATTCCGATTTCGAGGACAGTCTCCTGAATGAAAATATTCAGGTGTTGCTTTTCCTAACACTGGCACCGCTTGATTATTTAAAAATTGCTAAAAAATAGGGTTGTCCTCGATGGGTGATTGAACTTTAGTAAAAATAATGTTAAGTTCAGGCAATTTAAAATAAAGGATCAATATTTAACAGGCAAATAGCTTTTTAAAAATAATGTTTTGTAGGTAAGTTGTTTGTAGTGAACGCGATTTATGGGCAACAGCCTCAATAGGTTGAGAACCACTGCTCTAGCTAGACAGTTTGCCACCAGTCTACCAAAACACGGATTACTGATGAAAAGATGCTGGGGAGAAATATTAACTACCGAAACATGGAAACAGTGATGACATTTCCCTACTATGCATCCCACACGTATCAATATGTCGGGACTGCTGACCCAGGGTCAACAGTTATGTACCCTACAATCCCTCCTGCTTTAGTTGTCCAAATGTTGTGGTCGATCCTGTTTTCCTTCTAACTGCGCCATGACGCGCAATTAAGGAATGCACTCGTGTTGAACCCATGTGGACAATGAGTTCGTTTCTTGCTTCCCCAGTAAAAATACGTAACAACATACCCAGTTATTCAGCAATGATGACGTTGTCAGGATTAGCGCTGAAATACTTATGACATAATAAGCAAGGTACAATGGAACCCAAGCAATTTGCCAGTCCTTTTGAACTTTTGTACGAAATGAAGTTTCATTTCCTATCCGTCTGATGTGTTTCAAAGAGACGTTAATAATTTAAAGATACGATTAATTTAACAAAGTAAAAGTACCACAATTTCTGATATATATATCAAATAAATCAAGACTGAAACCATGCAAATATTAGGGTGACCACATCATTCTATGTGGTCAACGCTGCCATCTAATTAGACGAGCAGATTACAACTTTCCAACAATAGTTGTTTGTTGAGTTTTGATAAAAAGGACAGGGTGCCCTCCTGCTTCCGCACTCCATCACGAGATTGCTTTGAGTGCGGGAAGCATTTTTCTGGCTATCTAGCTGAATTTAACCAAGAATCGAGACAGAAATAGACCTACGGGCTGCAGTCGCATACACGAAGTAGTGTTCCACCAGTCTGTAGCGTAAAAATTCAAAGTAAACTAGAAGACAAATAAAGAAGAATTCCTTTAACAAAAAGGTTTGTTGTTCCGTGTATATCACTAAACTATTATATTCCTTACGGAGGATCAGTAGGGGAAGTTGAATAGTATAGGAAGACATTCGTCACATCTAGACTCACTCAGACAGCCGTCACACGCCCGGAAAAGCACTGTACGCGCGTTTCATCATTTCAGGAATCGTCAGAAGTGCGCATTCCATCGGACCATGGTAGGGCTCGAACCCGCAACTCGACTGTTGCAAGTCTGTGGTTGAGACCACTGAGCTACGGGGGAAGCCAAGGGTCATCGTGAA